CTTGAAAGTTCGGTGGCCCGTCCACCTTGGATTGGAGATGTTTTTTCAGTCAAAGCCTGTAGCTTAAGTTCTTCTTGGGCGGCAGGAGGCTAGTGGTGGGGCAGGGTGATGTCGTCCTGGTTCACTTGAGGTGGTCTGTCTGGCTTGGAGGAGGCGTCTTCCTTATTGAGGTGGTGAGAGGTAAGTTCACTGTTGCTTGGTGGTGTCTTTCTTGGCCAGGAGGTATTCGCATGTACTTCCCAAATGATAGCGGTGGTATTGGTGTTCCTGTCGGGTCTTCATCTTCTTCCAGTAAGGTCACTTGTCCCCTCTTGAAGTCGAATTTAGGGTCGATGTATTCACTCTCCAGAGCGCAGAGGTCAACATAATGTTCCACGGTCTCGTGGTGGACAAACACAGGGTAAGGAATGCAGGTCCTGAGCTGGTTGATGATCCTGTTGCATTCTAAGGCAATGACCATTCTTGTGCTTCGATTGCCGTTGAAAGTGCCACCGTGATTGAGGTAAAGTCCATAGCAGGGCTTTTTCTTGCTTGATTTGCTTGGGTTTAGGTCGAAGTCTGGGGCCTCATATGTGAAGGTCTCAGCCGAGGCTTCTAGGAACTCTGGTGCTGGTTCTGGTTCTGAATCTGATTCCACTTGCTGACTTTTTGCTCTCCTTTTCTTCCGTCTCCGGCTGGTGGGGGCAGGTGATGAGGTTGACTGGTCTGCTGTGGAGGTAGTCTGGGTGGATGCTGTTGCCTGGGTGACTTGTGCTGGGTTCGACTCCGGTGGTGGTGGTTGCGGTATGACTGCGGTTACTGTTGGTGTTGGAATTTCGTCTGTTTGGGTTGAAGCAGCGTTGTGATGTTGAAATAGGTCTGCTGGTATCAACATTGTAGGCAGGTTATTCTGGGCGAGCAGCCTGTTCAGTACTCTCACGTATTTTGCGTTGTCTGTTCCCGCCTCTCTCTCAGCTACACTGATCAGGCATGGGACGAGAGTGGTGTTGGTCGAGGCCGCTGATTGGTTGACAGTCAAATTGGTTGGCTGAGCTGCAGTCGCCTGTGTCCTGGGTCCCCATTGGGGGGTGGTCTGGCCTGGTGTGGACGTCTGTGTAGCAGGAGCAGAAGCGTTGGGAAGCACTGGAAACGATGTAGCTTGGATACTGAAGCTCGCCGGCTGATTGGTTGTTGGGTTGGCAGTTACTGTTTTATTTATTTCATCTAGTCGTACTTGGCAGTCCATGGAGACGGCGATGTGAGCTCCTCCACAATTGAGACACAGTTTGGTGGTTGACCGGCAGGTTTTGAAGTGATGATCCTGGGTACAAATGCTGCATTTAACCTCTGCTTGTTGGCAGTTCTTGGTATCATGATCGTACTTGTAGCACTTAAAGCACTGGCGAATGTTGTAGTAACGTTCCTTCTTTATAGTGTCAGGTGTGATGGAAATATCCAGACATCTAAATCCATTTTCCACAGCTTGGGTCGCTGCAGCAGCTGTTGTGAAGGTGACCTTGAGAGTAGGCCTTGGGTTGTCGTTGTTCTTGATGACCTTGACTGTAGCAGCAGTCAGAGCCGGGTTTCTGGTGTTGATACTACCAAGTATGGTACCAGGGTCCTGGGTGGCGATGTAGACACTCGTGTGGCTGACGAAGATGGTTCGTTCAGCCAAGTAGCGACGGTTAGGAGTGATGATCAGGTTGGAGTTTCGTAGGGCGTCCTGGTGTTCTGGTGGAAACAGTTGCTCCAGAGCTTGCTTGCTTGAATAAAGAAGTACAGCGCCGTCAGCATCGTCACGGATGTCCAACGGGGCTGCATTCGTGATGTCAACGATTTTCCTTAGTAATTGGGGTCCGGTGTAAGTGGTTTCGTCACGAAACCGGACCTTTATGTGGTAAATCATGGCTCTAAACGTTGCTGCCTAATGTTTACCCACCCGGCAGTGCTGGGTGCAGAGAGCCTGATCTAGGTTTTCGGTCAGTTTTTTCAGTTTGAATAATTTTATCTGTGGTCCTTTTATCAATAATCACTTGCCACTATTCTATATTTCTAGTATTCTATATTTATAATATTCACTTCCAACTTATATGTTGTTGTAATACCCGTTCCACATCACTGTTCCACGAATCACCGTTCACTATTTTTTTGTTTTTTTTCCTAATACACGCATGTACACAAAGCCTCGTTCACTGGCTCACACGCGGTCTCCCGTTTATTCTCTATTTAACACAAAGTTCTATTGTTAATGACTATTTTCAATTTTCCAGCGGGTCACTATGCACTTTGTTATGTCTGTAATCAGTAATCCACGGCAGTAGTCCTAAGAATCCCTGTTAATGTCACGATTTTAACGGAGCGCGCACGGTACGTCTACCCCCTCCCTCGAACTCGACCTGACACCATCACCTACATCCGTACCCAGGCGAGCTGCAGGCTTCGACATTGGGGCATCAGATGGCAGGGGATCAACACACAACCCAGCACCTGGAGACTGGTCCGGGGCCGACAACGGGGAAAAATCTTCCTCCCGGTAAAGGTTAACAGGGGTGACCCAGCGCACCTCACACCCCGCAGCCTGGTGGCCCGGTAGGCCGCACCTGAAAACGTCTGGGGCTGGCCCACATGAAACACATGAAGAAGGAAACCCAACAGCATGATGGAGGATGGTATATAATCCCTGAAACACATCGAGAGTGCGGGTCCCACACGGGATCCCCTTCCACCTTTCGGTCGAGACGGCGTTTATCTTCACATGAAGTACCCGCCCAAACGGGCAAAGTACCGACGTAAAAGGTCCTCAAGGAACTCGAAGGGCGCCGCATGCACCGCCACATACGTCGTTGTACCACAACAATCGGAGAAAGTCACTGATCCACCATCACCAGGAATAATTTTTTTTTATGAAAGAACGCCTATCATAGCGCGCGACGAGATCACGGTAAACCACTGAGGAGACGAACTTCACAATCGCTCACCTCCCAGCAAGCAGCTGCACACCACACACACACAGCCTCCACAGAAACACGTAACATGTCCAGAATCACCACTTCTACTGCCTGGTAGAAAGCAATGCTGGAAAATTCCAAGCCAATAGAGTCCTGCCTGATGACAGGAGGCACAGGGCCCCACCCCCGCCTCATAGTGCAGGCCGACACGGCCCCGGGGGCCCCTCAGTAAAGCATGGCATTCAGTCCAGGTGAGCAGCCACACCAGGGTCCACACACCATGCCGGGTTGTCAATAAATGGACGGGCAGGTGAAACAGCTGTACCCCACAGCCACCAAGTCGCATCCAGGCAATGTTATGTAGTCATTGCGCGAATTCGCCCTGACTATAGCACATCTGGCAGGTTAATGATGCTGAGCCACTACCAGAATATTCAGATTACAAACTATGTGGCAAATCTTTAATGCATTCAAAAGAACACTATGTTGTTGAATGTGAAACCATAAAAGATTTTAGACCTCCTGGCCTATTGTACCACCAACTACTTAATTATTTCATTGAATCTGGTGTACTGAACGACATCCTAACAATTTATCCAAAATTTGCTTGTCCATTTTAAAGAATGAAGAATAATTTTATTCATATTATTTTTAATTTGCATCTCTTATGAACCCATCACTGCCCTTGTGTGGCAGTGCACAATAGAAAGTTGATTTTACATATTCATACATTAAAATATTGATTGTAACCATGATATATATGTGGTTCAGCCTATAGTTTAGACCAACTGTCTTGTGTATGACCCTCTGTCCTGTGTGACAGTGAATACCAGCATTATCTTCACTTTAATAAGCCTTAATTGAATTCCTCAGATTAGGCAAAATTGTAATTAAATTTTGTCAATAAAGATGTTAATAATAATAGCAATCGAATCGCCAATTTGTAGATTGGTGTTCGATCCCCGACCGTCAAAGTAATTGGGCAAAGTTCCTCTTATCCTAACTGTTGTTGTTTTAGATTCAGCTACTGGGATAAAAGTTCCCAGCAGCACGGGCTATGGTGAACCCGTAGTGAACTTACCTGACACAGGAGCGGGGCTGTAACTTTATATCCTAACTCCTATTCTGTCCTCATGTCCCTTCCAAAAGCCATATAGTTATACTGGCTTAGCATTTTCTCCTGACCCCTCACCTATCCTCCCTCACACGGCTCTGTGCATCTCTGGCGGAGTTGATATGAGTTCGTACTGGTAAAACATCTACAAATCAAATCTACTCTCACCTTGGTGGTTTCTCTACAGCATCGTCCGCACCTTATGTTCTACCCAACTTCTTAAAATGTATGGTACTATAAAATATACAAAATGTGCTAATAGGATAATTGTAATAACATTAAATAAATGAATTTAATAGAGCACTAATTAATAGTGTACATTTCTTTAGAAATTCCTTCAACTGATGTCACAGTCACGTTTATGGATTCCTAATATTCTCAAATTGCAGACGAGGAGTCACAATAACGTTGCTGAGATATGTTGCCCAAACCACACACTAGAAAGTGAAGGGACGACGACGTTTTGGTCCGTCCTGGACCATTCTCACAATCGACTTGAGAATGGTCCAGGACGGACCGAAACGTCTTTGTCCCTTCACTTTCTAGTGTGTGGTCTGGTTAACATTCTCAAATTATGATCGAGTTTTCAAAACTGTTAGAGATATCAAATATATCATCAGCCTTCACAAATACCATGATAAGTGCTATTACACGGTAAATCATTGAAATACATGTGAATGGCTGCATCCAAAACAATACAGTTCTGAACGTCTCCTCCAACTGGCTGTTGGACATTGTCACATCCAGTGTTGGCCCAGAATGGTGTTCCCATCCGGACAGACGACCCATCGGTCCAGGTCCACACTCCTTCGTGGCCTTCGTCAGTACCACCGATCCAATAATTAGTATCAGACCAGCCTGTGGTAGGAGAGAGAGAGAATGAAGAAGTGAACTCGAATGATGCTGATCTACACATATTTAGATGCATCATAATGTCTATTGTGTAGTTATATTTAAGACACATTCATTATGAATTGAAGAATTATTACATCCATTTAGCTTGTGTCTGTTGCAGAGGAATTGTCCATTGTTAGTGTCTTCATAAGAGTATTTATACAATATTGAGGACACAAATCACCCACAGAAACTAGTTGCAAACAGTCAAAAGGATACAAAAAAAAATGTTTAATGTTGAAAGATGTAGGGTTCTGAGCATAGGTAATAATAACAGTCCGATATCACCTGGACAGTGTTGAAATTGCCAAATCCGAATGGAAGAGAAATCAACGAGTCCTGATTAGTAGGTATCTTTAGCCAAGAAATAATTATATGAATGTTTGTAATAAGGCAAATATAATACTATAACTCATAAACAGAAGAAATAGTAATGTTGCATTTAACATGGAGATAAAACACAGATGAATACTCCATTTCTCGATGTGTGGATTGACTGAAAGTTTACTTTAATCTTGGACTCTGTTCAGGACGGTATTAAATAATGCAATCAACATTTTACCCCTACCATGTGGTTACCTTTTGAGGATTTCGCGACTCAACGTCCCCGCGGCCCGGTCCTCGACCAGGCCTTTCAGTTACTGAACTGGTCAGCCAGGCTGTTGGGCGCGGCTGCTCGCAGCCTGGTGCGCCTCGCAGCTCGCAGTAACTCCCCTGGTGTCACTTTCTGCTCAGGACAGAGACGTGTTTTCACTTTTCCTCACTCGATGCCTTTGTTCACCTAAAGATAAATATACGCAAGAGTTAGGCAACTACTGTTTGTTGAATTCTGCTAACGGCTCAGTTGTTGGCTCAAGTAAACCTCGATAATCCTGACATGGTGCCTGGTCCCCAAGAATGGGAAACGGAACCCATAACTGTGTAGACATACCGTTGCCATGAATGTAACTGATGATATCACCGAACAGGTCGGGGGTGTTCAGCTTGACCAGGTCACCGCCATGACCCTGGCAGATGGTGCGCATGCCTTGCCATGAAGCTTTGTTCACGTTTTCAAAATAGAGACACCGGCCACCGACGTCCTTGAACGGATCCGGACACACTGTTGTTGATACGCCTGGAATGGTGAACAGTTTTTATTTTCTAGTTGAAGTTTTATATGCGTATGTAATTATATTTGTATATGCATTAATTTCTCTGTATAATACAAAAACCTAACTTCATTTGAGTTTTTTGAAAGTGTAGAGCAGACCGCTTCCCGAGCGAGGACGAGTATAGTTAGTTCTCACCTGTACGTCCCGGGACTTCCTCTTGCTGGGTGTCAGTCGTGGTTGATGTTCCTGTAATAAAGACGCAGTGAGTGACCTGCTCAACTCTCAGAGATTTAAGGAAATCAGGAAAGCCTGGCTCTACACGACGACCTAAGTCACATGAGGTGTAAAGGACTCGGCTGAACAAGAGAACATGGTAGATTCAGTGACTTTCCATTTTCCAGTGTGTGAGGACGTAAGGAGTGATGTTGAACACTTTATATAAAATGTTGCAGTCTAATGGTAAGGCATTTTTTTAGTGTGGGAAACTTTCCTCGAAACCCTAGGAGGGCGCTGTGCTATACTTGTAACCAGGAGTGACGTTTGGGAGACCCTTGGGCGCTAAGGCATAGCAGTGAAGGGATTATGAAAAGTATTTTATATAGATCAGACCAGTAGTATATAAGTGGGGATGTGGGTTAAGAAAATATTTAAACATCCTAAATAATACCCAACAAAGCTTAAAGCTTAACATTACTAAAGGTGTTAAAATATCACCTCTCTGGAATTTACACAATCACAGCCACCTGAGCGCCTAGTACCTACGGATCTGCCTCGCCACTGCCCACCCCTAGAAAGCTTATTGTCAAACTGTCTTATCTTCCTCATTCCTCCAGGCCGAACTGTGGTTTAATAAATAATCTTTGTGCAAATTAACACCCCTCTCCTTTCCATTCGTCGCCCAGTATTACCTTGTGTGTCTCATCCAGTCGTTATTGACATAATACACTCCACAAGACTGTGTACTACACCTACCCGTGTCTACTGAGTTTACTGGAAATACACAAGTGTTGGGTCGGGTGAGTGAGGCTGACGTGAAATAAATATATTATCGGCCGTTCCATATTCGAGTGAATATGTAATGACGTAAGTATTGGTTCAACCTCCCCTCTCTTGGAAGCAAAGTAAATTAGTTAATTATGTATACCCAGCCTTATAAGTACGAATTAAGTGTAAATTAGTAAATAACGGTGAAATAATGCAGTAAATCGGTATATCCTGACGGACATATTATTGCAGATGATTTTCTCTGACCAAAAAAAGGAAGCTGGTTAGGGTAAAGCTTACGGTGAAAATGAACGACAACTGTGTGTTTCAGAAGCACTGTTTACATATTGGAAACTGTGTATCAGAAATATTATAATTTCATCAAAGTTTTAAACTGTGTTATTAAACATGGCAGGATATTAGACCCGCACGGAAGATATAAGGATGATTTTTAGATCAGTTGTGACAGAACGTTATAAGATGCGTCTAAAGGACATGTGATGCTTGAGACTGTAGAATTGCATGACTATCTTTTACTTCTGGACTGGCAGTAGTTGCAGCGTCACCTTTGTAGTGGTCTCTGGGCAGCATGGAAGTATGCCAGCAAGAGCTAAGACATTGGAGAAAACCCAGAATAATAACAGGAATGGTTATAGCGTATACTCACCCAAGAGGAACAACAGGAGCCAACAGTGGTCCATGGTGACTGGTTGTGTTGTGTGGTGGGAGACAGCGTCTCTGAATCTCAGAGAATCTTCCTGCCTTCTCCCTACTGCACGATCTTTTATGGAACTAAGACTGTGACGACATCTGACCAATTTCCCACTCTGAAGGTTACATCCACACCCTCCAGTTAGAGTGGTCCAATGGGAATAAAACCATGCTGAGTCTGACGTTTTTTGTTGAAGTCGCACAATCATATCTAAAAATTTACACCAAGTTTGCTAGAAACAAAGAGGTCAGTTTGGTTATGTGAGAATGAGGTCTGAAAATGAATGAGGAAGTGTAAGAAAATTGAATGTCTTGTTACAGAGCTCTGAATATAATCTGACCCAACTGCGCTATCATAGCGCAAAAGACCAAGATAATGGATACCCTAGGGAGAGTTCCCACCTGACTACACAAACACGCTGATACAAACTGAATTGTCTCAACCTCGGCCACCTGCACTGAGCCACAGTAAAATACATTAAATATTTAACATACAAAAGATATAACTAATATTACAACTTTTTTAATTTCTAGCCCATTACGGAAGGTAAACATATATATAGTAAAGAATGTCGTGTAACAGTAAATATATGAGTGAAGGAGTGCCTTAGAGACATAAGTACCGTTCGACTATTGTAAAAGGCTATGAATGCGACGACCCTAAAGAGGCATATACATTATGTATTTAAAAAAAATCTGATTAATGCCCTTTTTTGGGTTAGGTGTATTCATGTCAGATATACACCCAGTACCAAGCTTTACAATGAAACACGTGGTATGAAGACAACAATAACTCCATGAATCAGAAGTTTGTAATTCAGGGAAAGATTAATCAGAACTAACGGATATTGATCACCATCTGAGAAGATCAGGAAAGGCCATACGACAGATTGACAGACTTAACTTGAAGGATGTATATTTTATTTAAAATCGGAAGAATGTTAGGAATGAAGCCTTCGTTCTGGTATAGTAAATATTAAGCTCTGTCGTCATGGCTGTAATGTTCAAATGTTTCTTTTTTTGTCCACACTAAACACGTCGTGTTATGTGAATCCACATGCGAACTGAACTGCCAGAGACACTTCTAGCCGAGTCGAGTTCGAGCTGTTACATCTGCCAGTCTACTGATTTTGTGTCTTGCTCCATAATAGTGTTTTGAGTTAAACACTTCAATGCGATAGCATATGGATCTACTGTTTTCTGTTAGCAATCATCTCGTCTTCAAATTTATCTGAGAGTTCTCTTTACTTTATTTACTTTGGTTTTTATTTTGAAGACCAAGATTAAACTCGATTTTTTATTTCCTTAAGCTTAGCATGGGCTTAAAGTTCAAATGTTCTAGAAGACCATTGTGTAAGAGGATCAAAAATTGTTTGATAGTAATCCATACATTATGCTTTCGACTATATTTTTGGTTGGCTTCAGAGACAAGCGTCATGCTCATTGATTGAAAACTAAGTAGAGCAGATAATAATAAGAATGAGGTGATTTGATAAAATGCTATGCCCAAGATTACCATCCGAGTGCCGGCGGGGAAGTGGTTCAAATAGCTTCGGCTATCACTTCCTTATGTCCGGTCGTGATGGTCAAGCGGATTAAGGCGTCCCTGTACATACCAGTTGCGTTGCTTCTGGCAGTATGGGTTCGAGTCACTTCTGGGGTGTGAGTTTTCAGTCATATATATATATATATATATATATATATATATATATATATATATATATATATATATATATATATATATATATATATATATATATATATATATATATCGTACCTAGTAGCCAGAACGCACTTCTCAGCCTACTATGCAAGGCCCGATTTGCCTAATAAGCCAAGTTTTCCTGAATTAATATATTTTCTCTAATTTTTTTCTCATTAAATGATAAAGCTACCCATTTCATTATGTATGAGGTCAATTTTTTGTTATTGGAGTTAAAATTAACGTAGATATATGACCGAACCTAACCAACCCTACCTAACCTAACCTAACCTATCTTTATAGGTTAGGTTAGGTTAGGTGGCCGAAAAAGTTAGGTTAGGTTAGGTTAGGTAGGTTAGGTAGTCGAATAACAATTAATTCATGAAAACTTGGCTTATTAGGCAAATCGGGCCTTGCATAGTAGGCTGAGAAGTGCGTTCTGGCTACTAGGTACGACATATATATATATATATATATATATATATATATATATATATATATATATATATATATATATATATATATTCTCATTTCATAAGAAAAAAACAGAGAAAATATATTAATTCAGGAAAACTTGGCTTATTAGGCAAATCAGGCCTTGCATAGTAGGCTGAGAAGTGCATTCTGGCTACTAGGTACGACATATATATATATATATATATATATATATATATATATATATATATATATATATATATATATATATATATATATATATAACTGAAAACTCACACCCCAGAAGTGACTCGAACCCATACTCCCAGGAGCCACGCAACTGGTATGTACAAGACGCCTTAATCCACTTGACCATCACGACCGGACATAATGAGGTGATAGCCGAGGCTATTTGAACCACCCCACCGCCGGCACTCGGATAGTAATCTTGGGCATAGCATTTTACCAAATCACCTCATTCTTTGGGGCACACGTGAGGAACACAAATGCGAACAAGCCTGAATGGTCCCCAGGACAATATGCAACTGAAAACTCACACCCCAGAAGTGACTCGAACCCATACTCCCAGGAGCCACGCAACTGGTATGTACAAGACGCCTTAATCCACTTGACCATCACGACCGGACATAATGAGGTGATAGCCGAGGCTATTTGAACCACCCCACCGCCGGCACTCGGATAGTAATCTTGGGCATAGCATTTTACCAAATCACCTCATTCTTTGGGGCACACGTGAGGAACACAAATGCGAACAAGCCTGAATGGTCCCCAGGACAATATGCAACTGAAAACTCACACCCCAGAAGTGACTCGAACCCATACTCCCAGGAGCCACGCAACTGGTATGTACAAGACGCCTTAATCCACTTGACCATCACGACCGGACATAATGAGGTGATAGCCGAGGCTATTTGAACCACCCCACCGCCGGCACTCGGATAGTAATCTTGGGCATAGCATTTTACCAAATCACCTCATTCTTTGGGGCACACGTGAGGAACACAAATGCGAACAAGCCTGAATGGTCCCCAGGACAATATGCAACTGAAAACTCACACCCCAGAAGTGACTCGAACCCATACTCCCAGGAGCCACGCAACTGGTATGTACAAGACGCCTTAATCCACTTGACCATCACGACCGGACATAATGAGGTGATAGCCGAGGCTATTTGAACCACCCCACCGCCGGCACTCGGATAGTAATCTTGGGCATAGCATTTTACCAAATCACCTCATTCTTTGGGGCACACGTGAGGAACACAAATGCGAACAAGCCTGAATGGTTCCCAGGACAATATGCAACTGAAAACTCACACCCCAGAAGTGACTTGAACCCATACTCCCAGGAGCCACGCAATTGGTATGTACAAGACGCCTTAATCCACTGACCATCACGACCGGACCATCACGACCTTGTTCGCATTTGTGTTATTAGATCTATTATTAGATCGATCTATTCAATTTATATGGTTATCTTGAGATGATTTCAGGGCTTTAGTGTCCCCGCGGCCCGGTCCTCGACCAAGCCTCCACCCCCAGGAAGCAGCCCGTGACAGCTGACTAACACCCAGGTACCTATTTTACTGCTAGGTAACAGGGACATAGGGTGAAAGAAACTCTGCCCATTGTTTCTCGCCGGCGCCTGGGATCGAACCCAGGATCACATGTCCCGCGTGCTGTCCGCTCGGCCGACCGGCTCCCTTACTACATACTATACTACATTCCTGGGCTTCGCTTAGAATATTTTTAAATAGGTTATATTTTGAGTCTACATCGAAAACCCCTTTTACGTCACCTATCGCTGGGATCACGTCTAGCTCCAAGACCGGCCCACTCCCCATACCCAAGACTTTCCAATCTATTTGACCCAATAAATTTCTTAGGTTATTGAAATTAGCTTTTCGAAAATCAGGCACTTTAACAGAATTTTCTCATACAGATCTATTCCATTCTATGCTAAATCTGATTTCTTTATGATCACTGTTCCCTAACTCATTCCCTATTTCGATGTCCTTAATTTGTGTTTCCCTGTTAGTTAACACTAAATCTAAAATATTATTCTCCCGCGTTGGTTCCTTAATGTGTTGCGTAAAAAAGCAATCGTCAATTAATTCTAGAAAATCTTCTGCTTCATTATTCCCTGTTTTGTTCAACCAGTTTAATCCACTAAAATTAAAGTCCCCCATGACATAAATACTGTTCGATCTAGATGCTCTAGGTATTTCATCCCATAGATGCTTTGCTTCCATTCTGTCTAAATTTGGTGGCCTATATATAACTCCTATTATAATATTATTTGCTTTTTCGTTTAATTCTATCCAAATAGTTTCTGTGTGTGGCTCAGACTTGATTCCCTCTTTGAGACATAAACCTGATAATATTCTACAAAACAAAAAAGACTTCCGAACTCCTTATCAAAAACAGGCCGAAGCCGACGGAGAACCCTCTACAGCAGGCAAGCGTTGTATACATGTACACTTGCCCCCACGAAGGATGTAACCTTCAATCTAAGTACATAGGTATGACGTCGACCAAGCTGACGAGGCGTTTGACATGCCATCTTCAATCCGGTTCCCCCAGGAATCACATGAGACAAGCCCATGACATCACCCTAACAAGAGAAATGTTGAACAAAACTACCTGTATAATAGACAAAACCCAAGATGCAAGAAGATTTCAAATTCTTGAAGCAATTCACATAAGAATAAAACAACCTACCATGAACGCTCACTTTGTCAACTGACTCCTACCTCCTTTGTCAGCTGACTATTTCTTCCTCAGCCGATTTCTATCTCCTATATCAGCTGACTTCTACATCTTTCGTCAGCTGACTCTTACCTCCTTCGTCAGCTGACTCCTATCAGCTGATCAGCTCCTATCATGCCATTTCATCAGCTGATTTCTGTCGTGGTAAACACAGACTATTCTCAGTCACATCCTCCGGAGACCGATGCGTCATTATACCCTCCTCGATCAAATTTGCTGAAGCGGTTCCAACGCTCTCTGGATTACATTAGAGAGCTTCAGTCGTAACCATTTATAGTATGTGTT